CAGACAGTTTTCATAGCATTATTTTTCCAAGTCAAAATGACTTAAATGTTTGTGCTGGTACAAACATTCGAACGACACAGTTGAAAATTGGTGCTCATTTAACTGTGTTTCTATGTCACAGCATACTAGTGGTGAGTTTAAAGCGATAGTTGGGTTTTTTTCCATGTATGGTGTACATAAGTGTATGACCAACAGTGAATGGTGGCTGGCATGCCAGAAATGTGTAGAAACTGAAGGAGAACCAACCTCGAAGCTTGGACATTTAGAAACGTATAATAAATAAGTACAACAATTAAAACCAGTGTAGGCTATTTTAAGTATATAATTCTTTCACTGCTTTGCGGATAAGGATCTTACGCTGTCATCTATACACTGCGTGAGTTTGTGGCTTAGAAAAAAGCATAGAGAATCATTTCCTTTTCCCATTTTAAAATGCTGTCTGACGGCAAATTATTCGAAATACAGTGTATGTTAAAACTGATGTAGATATCTTTATGTTTATTACTAAAATATGTTTTGCTGCCCCTGCCCACAGCAGTACATTGCTTGGCTCGTGTCATAATTCCTGTCTTTTTCTTCAAACTCGAGGCATATCGACTGCCATCCACAGTAGGTAATACATTGATTATTGATTAAGTACCTCATATACTCTAAAACTATCCAAACCATCCCTATAATACCCCTACTGCATTTTGAGTGTTACCTGTGCATTTTAGTTTACATCTAATTCATTCTAATGAGGCCATGTGACCTACTACAGTACCAGGATGGCATGGTTGGGGTGTAAATAGAGCTCTTAAGCACTGCCTTTAAACTACAGAAGAAATGTAAAGCAACAACTTTCTTTAGCAAGTTCCAGGACACATAAGAGTTAAGAATATTATAATACTGTACCTTGTTAAGCCATTCAACTTTCTCAAAATCAGGAAAGTGGACCTTAAAAAGGGAAAGAAAGTGCAAAAACATTCAAGTATGAAGAGGTGTAAGTATTTGTCCAACCCAACAACACAGTGGCATGCATAATAGTGGTGACAAAGACATAATTCAGTTATTATTAAATCATCCATCATGCAAATAAGATGGTAAAATAAGTCAACAAAAACTCAGGCAAATAGAATAAAATCATGTGGCTTCTATTAGAGTGGGAGACATTCTGCAAATTGCATTCCTGGAATTTGACAGCATTCCTTAGTGAAAAAAGACAGCAGTAGTTTTGGAGTACCGGTATTTCTTTTTTAGAGCTTACCAACGTTTCCCTGCAGCATCAAAACTGTGGACTGTAACAGAAGTTTGGAATCATGATCTAATACAGAGCATATATCCAAATAAAATAAAACCATCAGTGCTAAAGAAGAGGGAATTTCTCTCTTTTAAGACCAAAGAAAAGGGTTTTTACACTGGGTGAATTGAGAAATCTTTTAAAATGGAATCCTGCATTGTATTTGAATGAACCTGTGTAAGATTGATCTGCGAGACACTAACTACAAAAAGTTGATCTGTTCCGTTTTGCATTTTACATTCCTGCGACATGAGAGGAAACCGATCACTGTCTCTCCCTTCTTAGTTCCCATGAGTCACCGTTTGAGTGGGTGTGGCATGGTGTAACCAAATATGCAGAGACAAAACCAGCTAAATAAAAACACATTTGGCTAGCTCAGCCCAAACCTGAGTGTGGGAGGCTCATGCTATGCAAATAAAGTGTAGTGTAGTCAAGGCAACAGAAAGCCCTACAGTATCGGACATGTTTCAGTACGTTTTGCCTTGTTTAGCTCCGAAAACAAGGGCTTGACCTGCAGGGTTCAACCTTTCTTCAACAATAGTATACTCTCTTTGCGGTCTGGCTGCTGTAGATTTGTACATAAATTATACTATGTAATTGTGGTATAAATAAATACAAGTATAATACAGAAAACAATAAACTATGCTCATAGATACAAAAAGTGATAGTTAATTAGTGGAAAAATTGTAATGTATATATAATCCAATGCCAATATGTGTCTGTTGTATATTTCTGTATATTTTGGTAGTGAGATTGTATATTGTAGAGTATTCAATGTTTTCTTTATATTGTGTATTTTTTCGATACTCTAGTGATAAAAGTCGTTTCTGATGTAAATTGCTTCTATTTTAAGTTATTATATCTTTAAAATATTTGTAACTTGGTTAATGCTTGACAACACTGCTATTGTGACAGTCATTTCGCAATTTGGGATGAATAAAGTATCTATCTATCTTTCTTTATACTATCTATCTTTTCTATTTTTAAACAAATGTTGCAACTGTCCTCATGGATGTGGTCATAGTCTGTTCCTCCTTTCAAATAAATGATGTAAACACCGTGTCAAATGTAATAATCTTAAATGGTATGGGTAATAAGCACTAAAATGTAACAAAAAGTTGTTTTTGACAAAATAGTCTATGTTCATTGAGACAATATTTGAAAGTTAATTTCACAACTGTCCCGAGGCTAGGGGTCAACATCGGACTTCCTTTCAAATAAACATTGTGGACAACAAGTCATGTGAAATCCTCTTTTAATTGTATAAGTAGTTAGCAGACATATTTAAGTTTATTACAATTTTTTGTATGTATAAACCAAACAGTCTATGAGTAACTGAGAAAAATGCTAAAAGTTGTTCAACCATCCCCACTCTCATACCCAAAGCCATTAGCCCTAGAAAAGCTGCTCTTTGACAACCAGTACTATGTCAACTGTATCCCATAATGACCACAACACATACCCATGAAGCCATTTGTAAGGCACTATGCAGCTCCTTGTTCACCACACTAGTCTCGTTATCCAGAAAGTGAATGGCGCCTCCGATCCGGGCGTCTTTCCACTGGCGGTTCTTCTTCCACCAGGTGACCATCACCATGCACAGCACCACCCAGCTGATACTGAGGCCCAGGTACCCCGTCAGGTACACGGGGTAGAAGATCAGCAAAGCACGGCCGAAATACATGAGGAACTCCATCATGATGCGGTTGACGGCGGAGGGGCTCAGCTTCTCCGTACTGCCGTGGATCGACATGCTGTCCGCGAGCCCCGGTGCCCCGCTCGGGAACATATCTCCGGCCGTTGCCATGGCGGGTTCCTGAGGTCCAAAAGGAGTAACGCTCACTGCCCGAACAGATAATTGTATTGTACGTAATTCGGGTCACTTTTGCATGGCTTTCTAAAGGAAACAAATCAGGGACGGTAAACTACTGAACACTCCATAGGTGCGGTGGTGAAATGAGTCCCGGCTGTCCTAAAACTTCCGGGTTCGAAACTCCCAAAAGGCAGGTAGACACACCTGCACTCATGGGTGGGAATGCGCACAACAAAAATAATTCCACCCTAAAGATGAATGCGGAAAAGCAGCCTTGTGTCATAGGGGCCTTTTTGCTTTTGTTATTTATCAGCAGTGACTTTTATAGCTTTGTTTGAATGTAAAATCGTTGCATAGTGTATTTTTTAGACTGCTTTACATATATGTTTGACATCATGCAAATATATAAATATACACAGATGTTTACATCCCAATTAAACCTTACTCTCTTATCGTTTATAAATTACTATTATTATTATTATTATTATTATTAATATTATTATTATTATTATTATTATTATTATTATTATTATTATATAAGTAAGTACCCCTACAGCTTGGCGATTGTACCTATTTAACTAACGTTGTTACTAACAAAAATAATTCATTTTTTTCATTTTATTGTTATGTGATGACAATACAGGAATTCATTGTTTTTTATTTTGTATATGCCTGCAGTTTTTTGTGACGAGATCAATTATCCAATAATACAACCATCTGCAAGCCCCCAATGAGTCTATATTTATATATGTGCAAAATACAAGTGTTGATTATCCGAAAGAGTTGGATGTACCCACTACAACTCAGCATCTGAAAGGTATAATATAGAAAATATCCAGAATTGAATAAAATATTGTAATGTTTAAAACTACATTTGTGACTGATTGTTAAGTTTTTCATTTTATTTTTACGCTAAAGGCATTCTATTTCATTTTTATATTTTGGATATTCACAGTTTTTAAAGGATTTTGTTACTATATTTTTTATGACATAGCCAGTCTACCAAGAATCATCGTTACATGGCCAAGAGAACAATCTGCATAATTCTTAGCCTTATAAATCAAGAGGTAATAGTTGGTATATCAAATACATATCAGAGAATGGGATCTGCAGTTTCAGAGAGACCTGCAGTTGGCGCCAAAGGGTGCAGCAGAGAACCTCATTTGAATAAAGCTGGCAACACAAATCTGTGATTTCGTGGCTCCAACACTGTCTGTCTCTGATTAATATATTTTCTTTCTGTTAATGAAAAATCCTATTTTTTATTATCCCTTGTGGTGCTCCATTTGAGAGCAAGGGGACACATTTATAGATGTGTTTTTTTACACAAAAAAAGTCTACTAAGATGTAAAAAGGGTAATGAACCTCAGTATCAGAACCTTTATTTTATAGGCTAAAATGAAGGGATTTGGAAACTGTTTAATAATAATAATAATAATAATAGCTTGGATTTATATAGCGCCTTTCACCCAAGGTTGCTTTACAAAGAAGAACAGGAGTAGGAACAAACATAACAAAACCATTTATAACAGGTAATTTTAGAAATATTCTGTAAATAGAAATCACGGTTATGCTTATATATAAATGTCATGGTACTTTACATGATTGTAAGGAAATTGCCATTTTCTTTTAACATGTAGGCCTACAGTATTTCTTCAATATGTTATAAATAAGATAAAAGAAAACAATTAAAATAAAAGCAATAGTCAGGATTTCAATTACTCTGCCTTCGTAAGATATGTAAGTAATATATGTCTGTTAAGAGGAAATTGCTAAAGAAAATGGTTCGACTGTAAATGAAGCCTTGAAAACCAGAAATGTGACAATGTATGCTGCTGTATTAAATAAAACATGGACAGAAACTGAGTTATTCACAATTAAATATACAGAAAACATCAAGACAATAACGAATATGTATTAACTTTTTATTTGTACAGGCTTACTTTGAGAGCAGTTCGACCTTTCCCTCTCAAAACCGAAAGTGAAAACTGATTCACATTCACATACTTAGATAAACTCTGGCTGTCCCATGATTTACTGGAACTGAGAGGGTGCTTTCCAGCAGCCTGCCATAACAAATAAACAGTGTAACATCATCAAAGAACATATTATATAGGCAAACAAAGCTAGCTAGCTAAAAGATAGCCTTTCATTTTCTTTTAACATTTTGATTTCTTCTTACAAAATTATTCTATAGTATGTTTAAGGCATGTTTAAGGCACTGTATATATCTGGTTATGCATATCTCCATAACCGACCCTTCTGATGAATACAGGTTGCTTGTAAATTGTATTATCTTGAAAAAAAAATTGAATCAGCTGATGATTCATAATAAACAGTAGTAGCTGTAAGGCAGTGTTAGATGTAAGATAGTCCTCTACATGGCCGTGTCACTTGAATGTGATCATATATTCAGGGTAAGCCTGGGTGTCGTGGAAGATGACGAACATGTTGGGGTTGGCCATTTTGTCCACCACACTGTCGTACTTCTGAAGGGACACGGTGCCGCTTTTGGCCGGTGTGACTATCATGCCTTGCTTTCCGAGAGTGAAATCCCCCGTCAGAACTCGACACAGGTACATGCGTTTCTCCCCGTTTGCATTCGGCTTGGAGTAGGTGTCCGTGGCAGAGTAGTTAGCATTGACAGCAAAGTATGTGCCATTGCCATAACAAGCAGCTGAAAAATAATGCAGAAAGATTTCAAATTAATGTCAGAATGAGAATCAGAAATATTTATTTATGTAATTAATTTGTTTCTTCAAAGATAATTCTTTTTTTTTCATTTTATATTTATGTGATGATAATAAAGGATTGTATATTGTTTTTATTTTGTATATTATGTCTGCAGTTTTTTGTGACTAGATCAATTATCCAAGAATCATCATATATGGCTAATACAACCATCTGCAATCCCCCAATGAGTCGCTATATTTATATATGTGCAAAATACAAGGGTTGATTATCAGAAAGAGTTAGATGTACCCACTACAACTCAGAATCGGAAATGTTTAATACAAAAAAAGATCTTTATTTATTATATAATATTTATAAAATATAATATAAAATATAATTTTTAATGGTTTGTGTTTCTGTATTTTTTATGACAAAGCCAGTCTTCCAAGAACCATCATCATATGGCCAAGAGAACCATCTGCATAATTGTTACCCTGATGTAATAGTTGATATATCAAATACATATCAGAATGAGAATCAGAAATATTTATTATTTATTTATATTAATTGTATACTGAGGCAAATTGGCTTTTGTGACGGTTGCCCCATTCACATTGAATATTTTGGAAAATGTATTGATTGCTATTTTTTACATTACACCCATATTAATACGCCCATGTTACACCCATATTTCCTTGTAATTACACTGTTATTACACCCATAATACACTGTTATTAGACCCATATTAAACATTAATACACCCCTATTAGACGAATGTTACACCATTATTACACCTGTATTCGCTCAGTCAGTAGGGGCTTGGACTGTTAGCCGTAGTGTCGCCGGTTCAAGTCCCCGAACATACCTAAATATGGAGTGTGGACTGCTACTTGGAGAGGTCCCAGTTCACCTCCTGCCCTGCCGTGGTGCCCTTGAGCAAGGCACCGGACCTCCCCCTTCCCCCCCCCCACTCCCATTCCTCCCCGGGCGCTGTACAATAGCTGCCCACTGCTCCTAGTACTAGACTCCTGGTACTAGGATGGGTTAAAAGCAGAGAACACATTTCACTGTGTGTGCTGTGTGCTCTGCATGTGTGACCATTAAAAGAGGGTTTCATCCCTCCCAATTCTATTTTATTCTATTATATTCTATTACACCCATACCATACCCATGTTACACCCCTGTTATGCCGTTATTGCACCTATATATGCACTGTTTTTAGACCCATATTAAACCAATATTACACTGTTATTACAACCATTTTGAACATGGACACAGCCTTTCAAATGACTGTATCCCAAAGGATACAGAAACCATTTAAGGGTTAAAATTGAATAAAATAAAAGATAAATAATCAAGAAAAAAAGCGACTTAGAAAATGTAGTGCTATATAAATAAAATGTTAAATAAATTGTTTTGGTGATAAGACTACCAATGCAAAGGAATGGGATGTGTCACACAGGAAGTGAGTAAGCAATATCCTGTATTTTTTAACTTCTCACCGTTCTTTCCTGCGTAGCTCCTGTTGAAGCCGTGTTCGTTGATGTAGGCCGCGGTGTCCTCACAGGTGCCGTGGAAGAGGCGTCTCTCGTTATTCTGATGGTTGTTTCTCTGCTCCATCACACGCTTCTGGATCTGCAGGCTCTTCCACAGCCCAGGGTTCTGGATCCTCTCAATCTGAGAGAAGGGGAAAGTACATTCCTGAGTGTCTGAGGTTGTGCCTACTACATGAACTGCTGTTCCTGTATAATATAAATATTTATATACATTTGATTAATCCAAAAAATGCAATAATGAATAATTAAACTATTTTATATATTTTATAAAATACAAAAACATTTAATATTGTTTGAATTATTTGTATTTTGTATTTAATATTTATATTAAAAACAACACAATACAAATAAATTGTAAATGTTGACTGATATTTTTTCTAATAAAATATTTTGAGACATTTTGTTCATTATGTTCATATACAACTCCCAAAACATTTAAAAATCTGAAACATGTATGGCAGCCATTACATTCTAGTGTCTGTTGAATTCCAACACGGAGAAATGGTGTCAGTAGTTTATAGAATATAATATATATTTTTTCATTTGACTTAATACCTAGAAATAGTAAAACCAGAGAAACTGATAATGCTGCACTTTTGTTTTTAGTCTCAAATATATACATAACATTTATAAAATGGATACACATAATTTAAAGATGTCCCATAATGACTGGTAAAGGGATGGTGTTAGTAAAACAGATTATCCTTTATATTACACAGCATGTTAAATGTAGTGTACCTTAACAATGTTCCGTGGGCATGTGGCCTGGAACAGATTGAGGACTTCAGCGTGCTCTGGGCTCCCCGCAACAATGGGGACGGCCAGACTGGAGGAGCCGGCTGGCATTGCATCCCAGCCCGCAGGAATGTCGTCCTCTCCTGGAAATATTTAAGTTTTTTTTTTTATTTGACATAAGAAACATGAACAGTTAAAAAAGTTATTTGCACATCCTTGAGAGTAAATATTTACAAAGCATGTTATTGTTATACTCCATAATGTACATATATGCCAAAACTACCACTACAGAAAACTGCACAGCTTTTTATTTATTTTTCTACACAGCTTTCTTTTTAATTCTGATATAGTTTTTCCATATTTGAATTTGAATGTATTCTATACAGATGTATTTGTTAAAACTCAGGTACATTGAACATATTTTAATGTAATTTTCTATATTGTAATTTCAATTTCATTCGATAACAGATTGTACATATTTTTGATACATTTTTCCATATTTACATTTTATAGAGCTATTTTGATTCAGATTACACTGTACATATTTGTATATATTTTTTACATATTTTAATTGTAATTTTGTTATATGCAGATTTCCTTTTGATTCAGATATATTATAATTTTCTTGTTTACTTTTTTTGCACTTGCTTTTATTTAGAGATGTAGTTTATCCTACTAAGTTTATGTTATATACTTATACGTCAAAGCAAATTCCCAGTATGTGAAATCCTACTGGGCAGTTAACTAGATTCTGATTATGAACGTACAGTAGCATGCTAAATCTGAGAATTATTTTTCTTACCTACTGTAACTCAAATCTGGCTTGAATGTACTTTGTTTTGGTTTCGTAATAAGGAAAACTATTCTACAGTGTTGTGGATGTGAGAAGGCTCTACTTATCAGACTACATGAGTGAATACCTTTGAGTTTGTCAATTCGCTTTATCTGGAGGGTGCTTCCCCGGTTATCAGTAGCCGGTCCTTTTGGCATGGTGACTGTGTACTCTTGACCCTGCGCTTTAACTTTCACATTTAGCTGCTTCTTGGTCATTGCTTGCTCAAGTTTGAAGTTGTCCATTGATTCAAAGCTTTGAAACTGAAGCCCTGGCTGCTGGAACTGCCAGTCTGCCACTGCCGCTACCAGCTCCAAATTATTCTTCAGCTCCTCCTCGTTTCTCGCGGACTTCAGCATCTCATTGATCTCATGGTTGGCTTTGAGCACGTCCTTGCTCAACCCCTCGATGGTGAGCGAGGCTTGGGCCTGCTGGCCATCAAACCTTATCGACACGCCCCTGGTCTTTTGGATGACAACAATGTGCTGGCGGTCTGCTATGGAGAGACTAAGGATTGCGCTGTCCTTAATGCAAACGTTTTCTTGTTCTTTGGATATCAGGTCTTTGATAATCTGTTTGGCCGAGTCTACTTTAGCCTGGGACTCGCCGCAGATGTGGAAGGAAACAGGGTCCACTTTCACTGACTCAATGACAAAATCCTCTTCTTTCTGTGGCTTGTCATCACTTCCAGAAATAAAAAATGCTGATAAAACACAAGCTCTACATTAGGATTTAACATTTAGGAAGTCATTATGGATTAAAGAATATGAACAGCAACATGTTTCTCTTGACTGTACTTACATTTGATTTTGGACAACCAACTTTTGTCTTTCGGTTCAGTGGCTGCTCTATGGTGCATACTGTTGTAGAACTCTTTCAGCATGGCTGGCTGGAAAATAACTATCCGGACTGTCTTCAGGGGGCCATTAGTGTTTTGGCTTAACACCTCAATGACCGCATCCAACATGGCATCCGCCACCTGCCTTCCCTTTACATTGCCTTGACCTAAACGATACAACATAAGTGACTGACTTTCATCAAACTTTTGTGTCATAGAGCAGACAATACCAAAAAGAAAACCTGTAATTTTCCTAGTGCGAACCCTTCAACAAAGGTGGATTTGAGGTTATATATCAAGACATCACAAACGATTAGCACCACATCTTGCTAACAATTCTCACCTGTGCCAATGGCAGGGAATGAGACAGAAGTGTATGAGCCTGTCACACACATTTGGAGCGCATCTTTCACAACCTTGTTGATTGTAACTGGGTCCGTCTTTCCAACCAGGTGGAGGATTTTCTTACTCTTGAGGTTCCCTGGCTGGGTTATTATCATGCCTGTGTTGGGCTTGGCACCTAAAGGGGAAGACAGTGGAGACCGTTTTGGAGCAGACTTCCGTTATGAACACAGAATTGGCATAATGATTGACTATTAATTCATGTTTATACAGTACAAGGAGTGTCAACTCTGTGTTTAAATGCTTCCTTACCAAGATCTTGGCATTCTGCTTCAACAGCCTGACCAGCTGCATCCAAAATTGACTTTGATACTCCTAGAGGAAAAAGATAAAAACAACTGTCATATATCGTAGGTTGTCCGTCATGCATGGAAAGGGAGGGGTGCGCAAAGAGGTGTTCATTCGACAACCTCACCACTATATTACTGTCACTATATCCTACACATTGGTGCTCACAGGCATCATACCTTCAAACACCTACTTCATGTAAAAAAATACATTATATCTAAAACAATCTAAAATTATTATTTTACATTATGAAAACATAACAACTGGCTGTCATTTACCGGACTTAAGAGAGAAATTGTCATTTGAGGAGTTGACAATGACATCAGTGGTCTCCTTGGTGATGTCTCCCGTGACAGCCTGTACAACCACATTTCCCATTTTAGTCTCGTACATTCCGGAGCTCGAGACAACTTTTGAGAAGGGACCTTGAGGCAGCAAACACAAATGAAGAATTAAGAGAGGTGCAAAAGCCTTTTAGGTCAATATTTTTGTTAAAAGACCAAAACTTTAGTTTATCTATCTAAGTATTTTAAAGATTATTAAATTATTACAGCTATATATAAAGTATATGATAAAACATTAGTTTTTGTTGGGCCTCATTCTATAGCGGTATTATTGTTTAGAGAACTGTTAGTTTATGTCTTACACATTTCCAAAACACAGCATTACAGTGTATATGCACATTAGAATGTTGCAACCATTTTGCCTACCTGTACTTTGTGGGGAATTCGTTGGCACCAGACCTCCTGTTGCACTGGGGAACTTCTTGGCGAATTCATCGCTAAAAGCCTGAAGACATCAAAATAGTTACAAAATACTCACAAATATCTTCACCAAATTCTTAAAATCATAATGAAATCAAACCAATTACTTTGTTTTGGTTTATAATTTGGTACATTGAGGTACTACAGTACAAATGTATTCTTCTTTCCGTACCTTGATAGTCTCTGCATCTAGTGGGTAAAGGATGATCATGACCTTCTTCAGGTGCTTAGGTTGTTTCTTACTGCTAAATTGGTCGATTGTGTCCAACAAGGTTGAGGCTACAAGGTCCTTTGGGAAACCCAGTTTTCCAGTGCCAATGGCGGGGAAGGATATGGAGGTCAGACCCATCTCCTCAGCCTTGGCCAAGCACTCCGTGAAAATGACGCTCAAGGTCTGGAAGGTAAGGTGCAAGACAAATTAGCAAGATATACAAGATAAGATGGAACTTTATTTATCCCCAAGGGAAATTCAGGTGCATCAATCACTGCAGCAACAGGGTCAGAGTGAAAAACAGGATTCACACAAGGTAAAAAAAAAAAATAGAATAAAAATAATAATAGTTTACATATCAACCCTATTAGAAGAAATGTACCCCAAAATTTACATGATTTAACCCTTTACCTTATCAGCTCCATTGCCCCAAGGAGGAGTAACAGCATGAAAGACCTTTTTGCTCTTCAGCTGGCAGCCATCGGTAATAATGACCTCTCCGAATGTTCCATTCTTGGTTATTGCATTTACCAATACTTGAAGTTGTGGTCCAGCCACACCAAAGATGGCATTTGAAACTGCCCCTTTGTTCAGTGAAAGATCTTCAAACACAGTGTTCACAGTCGCCTCCGTCTAAGAATTGGTTAACACAATGATTAGAGTTGCATGTTATTTATTTGAAAACATCAACAACTTCATTTTTTAGATAATAGAACATTTAATCACAATAGTCAGTCAGAACATAATCAGGCAATTCCTAGAAGAACATATTTAATCAAAGGGTTGCTCTAAAGCTAGAGGAAAAGGCATATAGTTAAAGCTGCAAAAATATTAATTCCTTAAAGTAATTGTTTGCTCTTATTCAAGGATAAAAAGTTGACATTACCGTGGCATTTTCGATATTTCCCTTAGTAAGAGTGATGTCCAAGCCCTCTTTGGTCTGCACTTGTCCAAAGCAGTTTGGGTCCAATACAACAGATCCAGCTTGTTTCACAGGGGAAGAATCTTTTTTGGTAGGGAGAGTTTGTTGAGAAGAACTGACACTATGATTTCCAAACCTTTGTTGGACCGCTGCCACCATAGCCTGAACAGTACTGTCGTCATTGTTCACAAAATGGATCCTCTTCAAGGTGTTGTCACCATACTTGTCGTTACAGTACTCCCTCACAGCTTTGACGATGGTGGACGCACACACATCGAGAGGAAAGCCTTGGTTTCTGCTGATGGCAGGCAGAGCCACAGAGATGCAGCCTTGCTTTTCAGCCAGTTCCAAACTTCCTTTGACAGCTCTTTTCAACTGCGCCAAAGGCTTCTGGGGATTAGCTTTATCATACGTGGGGCCCACTGCATGGATTACTTTTTGGCAGCAAAGCTGCCCCCCTGCACCAGTTATCACACAGTCTCCGGGCATGAGCTGTGTATTCAAGGATATTATTTTGTCACACTCATTCTGAAACTGAGGGCCAGCAGCTTTAAGAAGTGCTCCTGCAAGACCTCCTTCGTGTTTCAAGTTCGAATTAGAAGCATTTACAACTGCGTGCACTGGGTAGCTGCACATGTCTGCCTTGGAAACAGCTATTTCTACTCCATCAGAGGTCTGCATTTGAAACACAGGCTTTGGCACTTGTCTTTGGGCAAGGTCGGCCTGTCCGACACTAGTCTCATCAACCAGCTGGACCAGGCAGCCAGTTTGACTTGAAAGGGAGTAAACAAACATATTTTCTTTGTCCTTGAATAACTTTTTCGCTCCAGGCATGGGGACTTGTAAACTTTCAAAGCACACAGAAGAGACCAGGTCTTGAACCAAAGTCATGCACTCTGCAACATTTGCTCTAGAACCACTTAGACAGATGGCCTCTTTTCTGTAAGACAACACCACCTTGTCTTTGAATTGCTCGAACCAAGAGGTGTCGAGTTTTTTGATGTACTCAACTATGACATTGGGCTTGACAACAACTGTTTCTTCAACTTGAGCATTCTGCTTTAGGAAGTCATCAAGTTCACTGCTAACTCTCTCGACAGTATCCTTTTTGCCAGACACCACCACTTGTTTAGGGGTACAGTTGATTCCAATTCTCATGCATGACTTATTGTCTGCATTCTCTAGTTGACTGACCAGGTTCTGCCACTCTGGCTTTTCAAGGACATTACTGTCTTCAACATCAATGGAATGAGAAATAAGCAGCCTCCCCAAATGGTCTTCAGCATCATTCAGATCTCTTTCGGATCCAGCAAGGAGCTGCACACTGATTGTATTCATCTCAAATGCTGCATTGATTCCATTGGATGTGAGGAGCTCATTCGTTAGTTCCTCTTGTTGTCCGTCTTTGAACAAGTCAAGCACGAAGTTATCTACTTTTAAATTCTGTCGCTTTAAGGCAAACATTGCGTCATATATGACTTTGCTTGCTGCCAAAATCTCCTCACTTAAGCCAGTTACCATCAAATGCGGACTCCCTATCTTGAAAGACATGTTGAGTTCTGGGTACACTTGTAGCACCTGGTCCTCAAGGCCAGTTAGACAGAGGATATGGTAAATCGACTGTGACACATTAATCTCTTGAGTCACGCTAAATGTCTCCCTCTTCACTCTTTTGGCAATCTTGTTTACCACATCACTAAGAGTTGGCTCTAGTCTGTTGACATCAACCATAAGACCAACCACTGACAAGATACCAGTTGCTTTATCAGGCACTACAACCAGATCTTCATTAAGTAGCAATTGTCTGATCGTCTCCTCAGACTCTTCCCATACCTTCAAATCTGTCGGAAGCTTTAGGGCTTTGATTTTCGACAGAGCTTGTGCGAAGGATGACTTGACAGTATCTCTCCACTCTTTGACAATGGCTTTGGCATATTTTTCTTGTAGCAGTGAGGTTTGAGGGCTCAAACACACAGTAGAGTGGTCGAGGTTTACGTTGCAAAAGTTTTTTGCCAACTGAATACGAATTGTCTCTGCTGCAGACTGATTATGATTTAGGTACCTCCAGACAGCATCGGCAATGGGTTCAGAGACAGCAACAGGGAGTTTAAGAGAAGGCTTATCTTTCCCATAGAGGGCTCTTCCCAAAGAGTTATAGAAAGGAAAAACGCTCATCTCTTTCCCCTTGATGTGATGCTTCTTCTTCATGATTTTCTGAACAGCTATGGGGAAATAAATAGGATCAAACATTATACTGCAAATTTGCATAGTTTTCATATGAAAAGGTAGAAAAATCTCATGTCAAAGTAAATGCCCTACCTTTATGGTCTTCAAAGGTGATGGTGGCAGACTGTTCTGCTTCATTAAGCACAACATTTTCCACATTTCCACCTGCATTCTCGAAATAAAGGTGAAGGAAATCAACTCCAAAACTATGTGTGTCATCGACTAACACTTGCTTTGTGACTTCAAGAGGCCGAACTGAAAGTCCTTTCTTTGCAAACCTCTTGTTTTGAGGGCAGCTTGTCACAAAATCAGTGTTCTCTGTGAGATAAAGATAAAATCATTAAGGTAGTTTTACTACAAAGGCAATTACGCTCTCATAATGTAACAAAAACAACAAATGTGGGGCAGTTTTTGTATGGTGGGTCCACATATTATTTTTATCTCAAGCATATGCAACAGGAAACGTAAGCATTAACTCGTACCAGCAGGGGGGTATACTACGAAGCAGGATTTTCGCTTAGCCGGCTAACTTCAGGGAAAACTTGGGGTTTCCGGTCCTACGAAGCTGGTTCTCTTTTTAGCAGGCTAGATCTCCATGGTAACTTAGGCTGTGCGGCTAACCTGCCCCGGAGCAGGTTAGGTTGCAGGCTAAGAGCTCAACTCAGTGAAAGCACTGCCTGCTGACCAATCAGAGCTCAGTGTGCGGAGTTTAAAGCGATCAAGTCATATTACAGGAGAAAGGAAATACAGAAAAGCTGCCGTTGCAGGAAAGACGACCGGCAAAAATCACAGACTGTGTGAACGTGAACATTAATAGAATATCACCTCCCATCTTCAGAGCAATCTGACTATTATAAAATTAGCGTTAAGAAAGCTTAGCCTACTTAAATATCTGCCACAACATAAGTAACCGGATCAGAGCAACATTAAGTACAGTCCGCGGCATATCACATCATGTATCATACAATGAACAAAAATATAAATGCAACACTTTTGTTTTTGCTCCCATTTTTCATGAGATGAACTCAAAGATCTAAAACATTTTCTATATACACAAAATAACCATTTCTCTCAAATATTGTTCACAAATCCTGGAACCAAATCGGTGTGAGTAGTGAGCACTTCTCCCTTTGCACGAGATATATCCATCCCACTCACAGGTGGTGGCATATCAATGATTGCTGATTAGCCAGCATGATTTGGATGCCCAGGTGTGTGCCTTAGGCTGGCCACAATAAGGCCACCCTGGAAAAACGTGCCAGTTTGGCTATTGCTTGGGGTTGGGGGGGTCCGAAAACCAGTCAGTCTTAAACCTAACCCTAACCTAACATGTCACCCACTACATGTTAGGGTGGGTTAGGGTTATCAACCCTAAACATGTTTAATGTGTCAGTGGGTGACACTGTAGGGTCTAGGGTTAACCTGATGTAAACCCTAAAACATTTTTAATGTGTCAGTGGGTGAATGTAGGGTTTAGTTAGGTTTAAACCTGCTGGGTTTTCGGACCCCCCAGACCCCAATAAAGCACAAACGCACGTTTTAAGTGCCTTTTATGTGTGGCCCAGCAAGGCACATCATGTGCNTGTGTATTCGGGGAGGGTGCACAGCTGATTGCAGCAGGTGAGTGGAGGTTGAGCCGAGAGCTAGGAGTGACAACCACCACGCCCACACAAACAACACACAAAGGAGACGGCTGGAGCAGTACAGCCACCACAGCGTTACCTAATGCAACTCCACACTACGTCTTACGGTGCCGTGTACCGGAGGGGAGAGAGAGAGAGCAGCGAAGGGGGGGGGAGAGAGAAGTAATACGGTTTCCTGATAAAGCTGTGGAGAGTATGTGCTGCAGGGAGGTGGATGCACAACGCACCCAGGAACGAACGCTAGCTCCGGTCCTTTTTACTGTGGACTCGATGTCCTGACAGGCTGGTATTTGTGCAATCTGCACAAAACAATACTGCACCATGATTACAAATGGTGAAATACAATGTAAAACTACCAAAAAATACCAGCTCACTAAAACACAACTGCTCAACTCAACGCAACTACTAACTATACCCGCGGTCAGAGAGCGGAGATGTTTACCCTTTGTGATGTAATATGACGTGTTTGACGTATGACCTTAAAAAAAAGCGCAGAGAAAAAAGCGCAGAGCTCAAAATTGCTCCTTTCCCTCTGAATTCCTGCCCTTATGTCTCGTAAAACATATCAAATCCTACATTCACTTTTTTTTAATTGTAATTTTCAAGCAAGTTTAAGCATAAATGTCGGAAAAAAACCCCCCTGCAAAATGCTCTTTAATGGAGTTCCTTCCTGTCCAAGCAAAGACTGCATGATAAATATCACTATATGAATTGTGCCATTACTTATATGGCTGATGAGCTGGATGGTCGATGATAGTTTGCTCGAAGGGTTTAGGTCAATATTGAGCTTTTATTACATATCCAATATTAGCCTCCTCCAGGGCGATGCAGTGTTGTTCACCATAAAACTGATTCATAAAGACATCAGAGAAAAAACCCAAATTCAATAATGAAGTGAATGTTTCTCATATAGGTTTGTTAAATGACTTAAAACAAATACTGATTCAAAGATTTAAATAGCTTTTTATCAAACTTTAAACCTTTTAATTACATGTTTCAGTCAATGGACACTTTGTCTCACTGTCTCCCTAACAGTTATTTAACTCCTTAAATAATAACAATAACCAAAACAAATAAACGTTGTCTTTGCTTCTTTAAAAAAGCAAGCTCTTATAACTTAAATTAAATGTTTCCATATTGGTTTTATCAATTATCATTGGATCCCTTAGGGCTGAATGCAACTATGAATGCTTTGCCGCCTTGACAAAATATTGAAACACCTTTTACTGAAATGCTGTGCAACACGAAACAACCTTGTACCAACAAAGAGATGACAACAGAAACCATTTCCTCTCAAGAAGGACGGACATTCTTGAAGGCTTTCTGATTGTAAGGGTGTAAAACTGGAGAAACAATGATCCTTATTTTCAAATTCAGCTGCAGCCTGGGAAGAAAACTGGATGAATAGTGTATTCAAAGACAAACAAAACAACAAGGCCTGAAAGACAAAGTGTTTCTTCTGATGAAGTCTCCGTAGACTGTTTCCATCTCCATTAGCCCCTCACTTTCCTATCCTTCAAAATGGGATGAAAGCCAAAAGTGCTTGTTAAACTAATTTGAAAATTACTCTTCTGTAGACAGTTTGTTTTTCGTGCGAACAAACGTTAAAAGCTGCACGAGTGGAAGCAGTTAGCTCGCGGGTGCCAGTTCACTTGCTCCCAACAGTGTTGATCAAACACGCCGTGTTTTCATAACTGTCGTGTGACGGTCTGATGAACATGATTGCCATGTACATCATCAAGGCTTTAGATAAAGCTCGGTAATCTCTTCGCAAGGACAGACAAGCCCAAAGCACTTTTGATTAAAGGACAAGTTTGCATGAAAAAAAATCTGGACATGGCAGCAGTGCCCATATTTATCATGTTTATGTTCAAACAAACAACAGCAATGTGAGGTCTTTTGTGCCAAATTAATACAGAAGTATGGAACCCTTTTACATCATAGATTAACTAAATGTTTCCTGACTAACTTAAAGGGGACCTATTATGCAAAATCCATTTGTTCATGTCTTTTATATTACATTACATTACAAGTCACTTGTTAGACGCTTTTATCCAAAGCGACTAACATACTCAATACTGTGGGCAATCCCCACAGGAATAATTTGTGGTGAAGTGTCTCAGGGACACAACGACATGCTGACTGCAGTGGGGTTTGAACCTGTGCTCCCCTGATCCCAACACCAATGCACTAAACCACTGCGCCACACACCTCCCACGTTATATCCAACAACATGTGTCCCCTCTGTGTAAAGAGAAAAGTTTCAGGAAAAAAGATTCTTTCTCTTTTTGTACTGATCCATTTATATAAAAGCCTGTCTGAAAATGAGCTGATCAGATTTGGGCCACTTTATGATGTCATAACGATCTTTTGGCTTGAGTAACCATTAGCCAATCACCAACCAAGGTAAATTCCCCCCCCCTCCACCTTATCACCTGAATCTCCTCCTAGGGCACCTTTGTGTTCTTTATAACCAAATATCTCTCAGAGGGGTGTGGGGGGGTGGGGCTACTTATTTTCATCTAAAGTAACAGACAGAGAATCAGCACTTTTGAGACAGGGCTGAAAAAGAGGGGATTATGGGATGCTGCAACGATCTGCTTGGTGTTTGGAGCCAAACACCTCAGAGACATGTTTTGTATATATCTGACACCTATTATATATTGATGTATAATAGGGGACCTTTAATTTGAATCAAAACTCAATTATCAGAAAGTTATGTCTCAGCAGAGGTGGAGTTGAAAAACCAGTGTTTGCCAGAACACTGGCAGCAGTGTACGTTTGTAAGAGGTGGAACAAGCAGGGTTTTACATTAGACTTGAAAGGAACCTAATTGTGTGCAGCAGAACAATACCCAGCGGGAACTGGCTCCAGAATACTGAGTGAGAAGTCAGAAACAGGTGAGTGCACTATTGGCACAGGTGTCAGGGTCGCACAGTTGTTTTAAAACAGCACCTGCTAAAGTTGAGCAGACATCCATCCTGTCACTGGAGTATAAAACTAAACTAAAATGAATTAGTATAACTCTTCCTCTTTATCATTTTGATGAGATCTGCTTCACGATGGGAATTAAATCAAGAGCCAGGCAGAACTTTTCCATTTGGCATTTATTCAAATCCAAACCTCTCCAAAAGTGTTCATAATGAAATAATGACAAGCAGGGAGTCGGATGGCTTAAAGTGAGAGAGTCATATCAAGTGACCGCATTCCCATTATTATTGAGTGTTGTTTTTAATCTATTATAATAATTATACATAATCATTTCTTTGATTAATTGACTAATCATTTAGGTATAACATTTTATGAAATTGTTAAAAATGCTCATTGTCAGCTACAGACAAACAGGATGTAAACACATTTTGATTGTGTATATATACTGTATATATACAGTATATAAAAGCGATTCAATTCTCATATTTTAAGAGGTTACTTATCTCATAATGACTATAACTTTAGCTTTGCACTAGTTTAAGAAATGCAATGTGAGCTTTAGTTTAACAATGTAAGTCCTTCCATTGGCTGCTACCATTCCAAGGTTGCTTTAAGATAAACCAAATACATTGAGATCATAAAACATTGTTATTCTCTCTATACGTTTTTCTCATTGCCACATATCCGTTATGATGTGACCACTTGAGAAAGTTGACTTGGTCCCATTGTTCTGCCCTCACTGGC